CCTTCTCTGTTAGTGGGTAGTTAATGATTTGCCGGATTGTACATTACTTTCACTTCCTCCTTCGTTGAGGGTGTCGAAGCTGCACCGTCAAGTTCTTGATTCAGAGTATTTCAATGACGTGCGTAAATGAGCCTTTCATCTCGAAAATATCACCTCAAGAGCGACAGAGTAGTAGTGAAGGAAACTGTAAATAAATGCTATTACGAGCGAGACAGGAAGCACACCAAAAAAGTCATTATTTGCATGATGATGCGAATATGGGGAATTTGAATTCAGTATTTTCAGAACTCAATCAAATTGGACCGTTTATGGACTATCAGATTATTTCGAACTTCAATGCTTGGATTACGTTTCAGGCTCACACATAAATTGGTCAAAACTCACAAGATAGAATTAGTTGAAAACGACTGGCAGATCACCCGAAACCCAGTCCTTTGGCATCACTGCAATGCATTAAAATTCATCATTCGTCCCAGTACCAGTTAAAAGATATGAATTGAATATTTTCGCCCCTGCGCGTGCCTCAAACTCTATTATCTGTATGACTCATTTAGGAGATGAAAGCACAGGAGAAGAATTAGATTTCGACAGCAGACCGTTTCATTTTTGATTCTTGTCACTGCTGCATTAACCACTGTCTAAACAAGGTGCATCATGCCGCGGATAAAAATTTTGAAGCGGTTTTCACAGTCACAATGCATTCATAAATTCACAGTTAATGGTCCGGAATTTAAGGCCATGTAAGCACAACTTATCAAACGCAATACGTCTTTTCGATGGCCAATGGCAAATTTTTGACCAGTGGGTGTCCATCGAAATCTCACACAACACATGGACCGTTCTGGTGATTTTCAAAATCGAGTATATGATACAAGGAGTCTATGATACAATCGAGTATATGAGTATATAGCATAGTTTAACTAAGCGGATAATGAAGCTCCCCAAAAACAGAAAGAAAAGAAAGTTCACGAAATTTATAATGCAGTTTTTTTGCACTTCCATGAGAGATTTTAATTG